GGATTCACTTGATATTTTCTTTCTACAGTACAAAAGCTTCAAGTTCGCTTAGTAACCTATTGGTGCTTAGGTTATTACGTAAGCGAGTAATACAAGATGTTTGAAGTACTTTAAAATAATATAAAAAAAAATTATAAGTTGTGTAACGTTAAACAATGATCTACATAAGAGGCACTGTCCCTGCTGTTTCCCAATAACCAATTATTTCAGTTACAATATAATACTGTCATATGATCAGCATAATATTTTTTGATTTTACCAAAAAATTGAAAATGCTACTAATAAAACTTTTTATAATTATATTCAATTTTATTAAAATTTCATAGTATATAGATTAAAGTATGCTTTTTACAATGATATAAATTTTAATAAACATGATGTTTAAAAAAATATACTTGTATATATCTTATATTTTTCGGTGATTGTTCAAATTTTTCGGGGTTACACAGAAATCGTTGATTTTGATTGGTTAATATCACATGACAAAAATCGTTAAATGCGTATTTCTCGTTAAATATTTAATCAATTTGAATAATTTTACCACCATTAAAATCAGAAAAATCTATTCTACAATATTTTATTTATAAATTAAAAGCAGTTAACTTAATAAAAAATTTTAAAATATTAAAATTAAGAAAATGTACCATCGAGATCATATGAAAAATGATCTACGTACACTCTACCCTTAAAAAATTATTATATAATGTGTGAATGGCCGGCATTTACTATGCGTCGTTTTAGCCCTGCTCCAAAGTTTGTACCGTTTTTTTTAAATCCAGATTAACGGGATTGAGCATTTAGATAAAAAAAAGGGTGTTTATTCACAATACAATTATGTGTTAAATTGTTATGTTTTCTGTGTATTAGTAACAGATTGTTAGAGGTTAAATATTCAACCGTTTTGACCCGAGTTGTAAATTTTTGACCCGGTTGAACCATTTGACACGGGTGACCCGGTTTACTATACCCCAGTTCTAAACTCTAGTTTTCAGACAGTGACAACGCAGAAAACGATTCCATTTCGCGTAGATTTGATGTTTCTGGAATACTATTAGTATCATCCGTAATTTCTACAGGTGACATGGTTTCATTACTACCTAAATCAAAATTTGATTTTGCAAGGCTTGTCACATTGTAATATGCAGATGTTCCAATACTTATAGTAGCTCTTGCTAAACTATTAGCGTTACTCATGAACCTATCTTTAATCGTATTGAATTCGGTACTCTTGAACTTATTCTTAATTGTACCGAAATCGTTATTTCCCACTTTGGTGCTAATATTTTTCCACGGGTCAAAATAAATATTATCCTCATATATACTAGCACTTTTGCTAAGTGGTGATGATGGTGATGGTGAAGGTGAGTCATCCTTCCAAACGTTTCCATCACCAACTTCGTTATTTGAGCTAACGTTTGGAGACGCTGGTCGTGAAATAGGGCTATTCGATCTCCACTTCATCCTCGCTGTAAATCCTTCAGCTTTTTCATCTCGAATCTCATCATTATTGCCATTTAATTCTTCATCTTTTTTATTAAATAGTCCAGCCCAATATTTAACATTTTTCTCATCAGGGAATAATACACAATCATTATTTCTCTGTTCATTAGAATTATTCTTTTCATTATATAGAGGATTGAGAAACATTGTTTTATATGAATTAAAATAGTCCCAAACAGAATAAGTTTCGTTAGCGACTTTATAATCCATTCTTTCTTTCTCCGAATTGCATAAGAATGTTCCAAATTGACATGAATAACAATGATAATGTAATTTGATCAAAAAGTTTTCATTGAATTCAAATTTTGTAGGAAATTGAGACAAAATTTGAAATACACAATCCAAAAATTGGTGGAATACAGGAGAAATTTCTCGAATATGAGATTGCTTTGTAAACTTGCTTTGTACGGAATTAAATGTTGAGTTGGCATTATTAATAAAGTACTTTTCATTAGAAAGATGACCTGAACGATCACTAAATTTATGACCAAATGATACCCATTCTTTTTCAATTAGAACTTGGAATCCATTGAAAGTGCGATAATATGGATCAAGGCAAAGTTCAGAAATTGAAGTCAATTGTACCGTACGATCCCATCCATCCGAACAATGAACAAGTACATGGGAACCAGAAATGTGCACACTTTTAATTATTACAAGGGCTGACTCCAATAAAGTGGAAATGTGCTTAAGCCAGCCGGATTTATCTAGGTTATACCTTTTAACTGGTAAACCATTTGCATCAGCAGCATGTATTACTGTAAAAATTTTTATCATTAAAATTCTATTATAAAATCATTTTTACAAAGCATATATATATATATATGGGGTTGAGTCAATAGAAATCAAGCAAATTTTTTCTAAGTAAATTTTTTTTAAACTTTAAA